AATACATGAGAAGCTGTTATCGTTAATGCAAATTTGTATGAGATTTCATTTAATATTAAGGGGGTCCATGGTTTAAAATATATGGTTTCGGATGTTCGAGCATATGTTGACGAATCTGTCTGGCAATCTGATCAGCAATCATAACCCAAAGACTCAAAATTAATAAGCTCTATATTTAAGTCAAATTTATTCAAACAGTAGACCCCTCAGTAAGTACAAAGGACGAAGAATAAGCAGAAGCAGTAGAATTATCTTCCATCGAAATAGAAACCAGAAAATCCTAAAATAGTAATCCAGAGGGAAATATAAATTCATAAGGCATTAGAGGAAGACAAAGAGCTTTAATTAAAATTTCATATAAGCCGTTAAAACGAGGAACTTATGGATCTTCTTAATCTTATCAAAGTTTCCCTGTCTAATTACATACATCCTCACATTATCAATTTATAATTCCTTCATTAATCATGTCTGCTTCTGTTATCTTATAATAATTAAGAATTAGCAAATTTCCATTAAAATTCTTCAAAGACATACATCGCATTCATGTACAGAGTACAGATGATATCCATGCATGCGTGTATACAGTATACATGCCTGAAAAATGCATTAGTAAATATTTAATAGCCATTTCATGTTGGCAAAAGGCAAATAGGCGAGAGCATTTGGTGGATATGATTATTATGCATTGTCGTATGAATACATAAGTTACGCACAAATGTATATACGCACGATACATAAATGAGTGAAAAGGGGGTTGATTCATATGGGGTGAAAATTTTGATAATGAGAGTGGAGAAGCTAATGAGTATAAGTGATGGCAGGTGAATATTATTAATATTATTATGATTAAATTAGGCAGTGCCTTGAAATCTCAAATCCTTTGGGATGTGAAGTTAGATGCTTTATAAAAGGGGGCAGAATAAAGGAAGTCTGAGCATTATGCGCCATAGAATTCAAATCAAGTCCAACTTGTTCTCCTTCTTCAGTTCCTATCAGATTATTACTTAATAAATTCAAACCTTCTTACCTTACTTAATTTACTGCCGCTTGCTGCTTACTTGCAATTTTCATTATTTTCCTCTAGTTCCTTTATAAGCTTAAAAATTTACATATCTGCATTTTTCCTCACAATTAATTGCATTTTCTTGTATTTTAATGATCTGGAATAATAAATTTAGTACTTTTTAAATTGATAACATGTTGCATGATTGCATGTTTTAAGCACAAAGGAGAAATAAGTAGAATGTTTATGTGCGATATGTATGACAAGAGTGTTACATAGTTGCGGAATATGTTTTGACATGTAATGTCACATTGAAATTAGATTTAAAGTGCATGCCATTTAGGTAGTCACGAATGAATTTTGGGAAAGACAAAAAAAAATAGTGTCTGTGTTTCATGTAAAAGGCATGTCTGGTGCTTATTTAAAATTGAGACATTCTTTTTTGCAACTACCTACTATGAATGTTAAGTCCTTGATCATGCTTTGATTCATTTTGATGTTTTCTTGGAAGTCAGAATATGAGATGCTTGTTGTTTTAAGCGCATTTTTGAAACTTGTTCCTAAAAGGTAGCTTAATAATACACTTTGTTCGGCTGTTCGGCTGCTCGGGCGAAGAAAAACTTTTGAATTAGACATCGTAGAGAGCTCGCGTTTGTTTTATTATCTCCGTTACTATCGATTTATCGGCCCATCGAATGCTTAAATCTCTTGACACAGTGCATTTATGCTATAATTAATGAATGTATGTTTTGTTTTCAGTGTAACCTGCCCAAAATTTATTTTACCTCTACAATTTCAACATTACCTCTATAATTTCAAATTTTTTCTAGCCGTTGTAAAATTTGAATTTCAAAAAACCGTTAAATGATAAACTTTTTCTGTATGGAAATTCATTGGAACAAACTATATTGGAGACACACACAAGACTAATTTTAGTTCCATACCAATTCAGTAACTGACGTAAACTCTTCAAAATGCTCAAAAAATACAGAAACAAAACCTATAAGAAATAAACAAGCTATAAACAAAATTCACAGAATCAATTTCCATCATGGCAACAAATTGCGTTTCTAAAATAATTTCCATAAAATTTTTAGCCATAAACTTTATCTCAACCTTTCTAACCTCAACATAATTTGTTATTCTTTATAAATTTTCATGCCCTTAAGCATTGAATATTGATTTTTTTTTCCTACCTGATACATGCTTTCTAGGCACATTAAGTATTCAAAATCCAAAAATGTTTTAGTTGGAAAGTCACTGAAGCCTGAAGTTATAGAAAATGAACATTACCTTAATTATGATGCGAAATAATGTCCTTAAATATTAATACACAGTTTGTGGAGATGTCAGGCACGTAGCTATGGGGGTGACCCCCCATCATATCCCTTGTCAACAATTCTTACTAATCCACATTTCAAAAATTATATTAAGCTCAAGGGGAAAGCATCAAATGATGCCGTTGACTTTTAAGAATCTATCAAAATCAAGATTCCAATGCATTCAAATAAATTAACCAGTTTAGCAATTTATGGCCAACAGAAGGTTATTAACGACACATAACTTTATTTATTACTTCACAGTTGCCTGCGTCCTGCTTTTTATGATAATGTCTCATTTCGTTATCGATTTTACCTCGATCATTCTCAAATAGCCATTTCCACATATGACATAACGTATTAACATAATAAATTAATGCACCATACGACCTCACGAATGTGACGCATTTATTTTCCATTTCCGGTCTGTGTGGATATAAAAATATATAGCTTTCCACATTCTCATCAGCATCATCATTATCATTGACATGTTGATTAACATTCGTGTTAACAATATCACATAAATGCACATATTGCGAACTGAATAAAATTATGAACATGATTACTATTGCTGTTATTATTTATTATTTTAATTTTATTACCATCTTATTTCATTTATAGCACCAACAATAACGATTGTTGTTATCATATATTTTTATATACTTGAGGGGTCCTCGGTTTTGAAAATTTAAAAGCACTTAAACTTCGATTCTGAACCTTAAAACTGACGCACCTTTTAGAGCTATTTTCTTTAAGGATCCCCCTCATACATATGATGACATAAAGTGTAATAAAATATTGATTAAACATGAATAAATATAAAACATAGTCTAACATTGCCCCCTTTAATGTACACACGAAAAAAAAAGATATGTACACATCGTAAGTTGTCTATGTGTGTGAATTTTGATTAACTAGAAAGGATCATTCACTTCACTCCATATAATATAAAAGGTCGCGCCCAAAACAAAAAAAAAATAAATAAATAAAAATAAAACATACCCGAAATGAATGAAATAAATTAGTTGACTAAAAAGTCCTCTTGCTTGCTCGCTTTTTTGGTGGATTCACTCAAGCATGATATGATGGACAAGAGTTTTTAATGGTTCTATTTGTCTTTTATTGAAGTTAGAAATTGAAGAGTCAATAGACTCGGAAATAAAAGTTTTCTAAAGGGGTCGTTCACTTATCTTGCTGACCCCCCCCCCCCCTGGAAATCATAAATGAACGGCCCCAAAAGTCATTCTCCTTGATCGAATGTAAGGATCCAGAGTTGGTAGCTGGGTGGTTTTCCGGGATTATAAGCTTCAGTAGATTCAGTAGATATTTGACCATTAGGAATAGCTATCAACTCATTTACTTTAGACACCAGCTGCAAATGTGGACCAACCCTGTTTGAGAAATAATTTTTTTTGTGATTTTGTGCCCTCAAAGGAGAACCATAACAAACATCCACAACTTCCAAAAAGGTCAATTCCTACAGTGTTTCAAAAGAGCATCAAAAAACCCACCTCAAAAGACATAAAAGGAGCAATGCGCTGTAAAAATCACCTCAATAATAAGCAAACATTGCACTTGCTCGCATTTAAATGAGTGAAACAGAATAAATGTACATTTACCCATTTATGTCATCCATTATATGTAGACATAACATAAAGCTCTATGTACTTACGTGTACGTATCATATAGTCATAATGTAATGTAATATGTGAATAAAGTTATATTGCGAATGAAAGAGAAAATCAAAGGCTGGAAATGTGAAGCATGAAAAATGTTCTATAGATAGTCGCAGTGATTGCTTTCTGTGACGAATGACTGAATTAACTTTATGAATAATTCTCAGAAGCTAAATTCATGTTATTGGAATTTTATGGAGCATCTGAAAAAATTAAATTTAATGGAACAAATTTCCACATGATTTGCACAATATTCGCATTGAGTAATCCTCTCTAATTCTTGGAAATTTATGTCTGAAGCTTTCCTTAATCGTCTCATTTACATTTGATAATGAAGTTCTTGAGAAACCATTTAAGGAATCGATATTAAATTGATTTTCATTTAAAACGGGATAAAATATTCAATAGCAGCTTTTTGAACATTATTTGACAGCTATTGAGAAGCTGTCAGACAGTTGACAGTTATTTGAGTCTTCCGAGAAAATCAATTTGACAACAAATACCAAGATATCATGATGCTTATTCAGCTGTGTGAAATTTTTGACAACTTTTGGCATTCAAAGTTTTTTTTTTGGATGTTTAAGGATGGGAGGAATGCTTTATTCTAACACAAAAATACTTTAGGGTCTGTTCACTTATAACATCCAGGAGGGGGGGGGGGGGGGGGTCAGCAAGAAAAGAAAAAATGACCGTTAATTTCGGACGTCATAAGTGATCGACCCCTTTAAGATTAGAATTGAATTGAAAAGCATAAATACAGAAATTAACACGCTGCACAAAGTCAATATCTACAGAAATTCAACTTATAGTTGGGGTTCATGTACCAATGATGTCCAACAATTTTTAAAGATAGAGAAGATTTGAAGATTTGTTCCTATTTTCTTGATATTAAATAATTATTTAAATAAAGTAACATTCATATGGACATCATTCGTGAATGATCTCGATCCATTCATTTTTTATCGCCTTTTCATCTTTCTTTCTCATTTAATCCTCAAACAGACAACAATTAATAATGTTCCACTTCAAACTCAGCAAAGGAACATTGCGATTATGGATCATCATGGAGTGGAGGAGCAACAAGAGCATCATGAGAATTATTTAACGAATGAAGCTACAAGTAAGTACATACTTTTTGAAAATAGAATAAAAAGACGAAGGAAGAAAGAGAAAGAAGAAGTTAATGAATATTAATTTGCATTTTGTACTGTGTATTATGTATTCCGTTTGTTTATTTGTTCTTGTTGTGCTGTTTTCATTTTATGGAATATTATAAGAATATTCCAACTTTCGAAGGAGGACTCCTCATTATAAATTACGTAAATAAATGGCTTGAAATATTTTACAATTTAGAAAAGAAAAAGAATTTGAAAGATTTGCAGGACATGATGGTATGGGCGCTTTTCAAGTCTTAGTGAGGGATTCTTAAACTTTGACAGAAGTGCTAGCAAGCACAAAGGAAAAATAAGGTTGTCCAACACTGACTTGAGTATTCAGTGACTGTAATTAGTTTTGAGCTTGATGGAGCTTAATTTCACATTTTAACTTAAAATGCCAGTCAGTTCCAGACAAAACTATACCAAAAGACCCAAATCTTCTTCAAAATTCTGTCAAGAAAACAGCACAGAAATCTCCCAGCGGAAAAATTTCATTTCTCTTTATTACGGAAAAATAGAATTAAAATCCTCGCTAGGCTGTTCCTTTCGCCATACGAAAATGGATGTTAAAATGAGAAAGAGAATAATGTACAAGCAGCGCAGAGAGCTTTTTTGGCACGAGACTGAAGAAAAATAAAAAGATGAAATAAAATTTAAAGTTAAAGCTTACTCTTGATTTATAAAGCATGAGGAGAGAGAATCATGGGACTTTGAGCAAAAAGGGATACAGCATATACACAAAAAATATTCCCAATGGATGCATTGTAAATATTTTTTTATTTCTTTATGCTGCATGCTTACAAAAAAAAATATTTATTCCTCTTACTGTGAATTTATATTTGCCATACACATTGCCATTGGTGACTTTAAATAAATATATACGAAAAGCGAGGATGAAAGGAGGAAAGAGGTTATTAGATATTTATGAATATTGGATATTCAAAAAAACTTTAAAGCTGATATACCAAAAAGTTGATAACTTTAAAAAATTATGTGAAGCTGAAAATATCCCCGATAATAAGTTCCTTTCTCTCTGCAGGTATCGGAAGGAAAAAACTTTTATTCTAAAACATTTCGTAGCTGTGTGAAGAAAACTTATTGTTGTTAGCAAAGTTGATACTTAACAGTTAGGATCAGAAATAAGAAGGGAAAACTTCCTTTAAGTTTCATGTTGGCTGTGATAAAAATTTCATGCTATGTTCTTTGGAAATGGAAGCTTCCTTTTTGTGGGGATTTTAAAGGATTTTTAACTACAAATATCTCCTAAGATTTTCTTTTAATTATCAAAAATATTCACATCCGGACTGAATAAATAATGAATCAAGTTGCTTTAAAGGAGGCAACTTACCACGTGCTGTTTATCGATCCAAAAGCATCTAGCCTTTTTATTATTATGAATTTAGCGGCATAGACAAGTTTGAGATTTAATGAATTTTTGAATATTCTGGATATGACTCTGGAAGCACTACAGGATTCTTACATTCCCAAATCGCATTGAATACATCTCTTGCCTCTGTAGAATTAAGGATCTTTGATCGAATGTGTATTCTGTTCCAGAAAAATCTTACTCAAATTGAATCTCCTCAATTTTAGCAACCCCAGTAAATCTAATCATGAATCTAATAAAATACATCCACAGATGACTAGTCCTTAAATTACAAATATTGAAAATTACAATTCAACACACAGTAACAGCCATAAAAATAGCTAAAATCGCAATAAAACTATCACAAAAACCACTTTAAATAATCATTTGTCCACTATGTTAGTAATAAAAAGCTGCAGACTGTAACTTAAGTAGTGTTCAGTTCCAATTTATAACAATTCATTGCCAATTCTCGATTTTCTTAATAAAAAATTATAGTGCATAAGCCTTCCATATCTCTTTTCATCGCATTATCAGAAAATATTTTTTTTAAGGACGTTATAAAGCTTGCTCCAGCATACATTCAACTATCTCATATCTTCGATGATGTTAAAAGGATCATTAAAACTTTATCCACCACACTCATGCCCAATATCATCATCACACCACCCCAAAACTCATTCCATTTTTGTCAACTTGTGTTTATGCTGCTGCCGTTGCTTGCTGCTTCATAAGCATTTTTCTTTCATAATTTTATTCATCTCACGTAGTGAAAGAGTTTTCAATAAATTTCACTCGTCCTCCCTTCTTTTTTGAGCTGTTTGAAGTAGGAAGAATAAAAAAAAAATTTGTGGAAATAAATTTATAAACAACCAAACGAGATCCGAATGACGACGACGACGATGCGAACAAAAATTGGTTCAAAATGAAATAATAAGCTGCATCATAAACATTTCGAAAGAAAAACAATTACACACTCTCAAGCAGCTTGGGCTGAGGTTGGGGTGGGGGTGAGACTCAATCCTACTCATTGAGTGAGGTGGTAATGGGATGAATAGATATACTCATCTATTTCTATCCATCCATTTACTCATTCATTCATTCATGGTGATGAGAGGAGAATGATAAGAATAGCAGCAGGCACTTTCTTCCATTCTCCTTTTTGCTGTTCGTCGCATTGATATTCGAATGCTCATAAACCTGCCACATTCGGTTTTATGTTATTTTCTTTTTCGACATATATACAATATAAATATGTACGTACGTGGTGCTTTCTCAAAAAGCCAGCAGAAATGTTCAAGGAATATTAAAGTATTCATAAATGAATGAGTTGAGCGCATTTTTATGATATAATGCACACCTGCGTACTATGCGAGTGAAATATTATGAGAATTTTTATTTTATTTGATTTGAGAAAATTGATGATGTCGGATCCTAATATGTGTGTCTGTGTGCTTTATATATTTGTAGCATCGTGAAGAGTGAATATGTTTAGGATATAATTCTATAGCTGCACACATAAGGGTTGATGACATAATAAATAGGGTCTGCTAATTCTACCATCATATATACTATGAATATAGGCCAAGAGAGGGATCCAAGGAAGTCCAAAACTTTTTCTTACAGTTGAAATTTGAACAAAGCTCGAAGTTAACTCGAGATTTTCATTGATTTTGTATAGCGGAGTCGACTCCGAGCCGAAAAGACTCCATACAAAATTTCATCGACTTCGAGCTCTGATAAAAACAATAAAAACATGGAATTGAACCTCTTTGCCACAGTTTGGATCCTTAACTTGAATATTTCTGGCTGCGCTCCTGACAGATACAGCCTCAAATAGCCTTCAATCTCTATCATGCACAAAAACAACAAAAATAAAACAGAAAGTGGCAAAAAGAGCCCAGCTTTCAAAGACATTCTATGCGAACAGCTCTTAAGTAGCACTTGAATTACAGTAGACCATCCTCAGGCAATTTAAAAAACTTTCTGTCTGCCTATCAGTCTGCCAATATCCTCAATAAATAAGGCAACAAAACCCAAACAAATAAGAAAGAGCATTCATTCAATTCCAACCAATTGACTGCTAATTGACCGTACAAATAAATTCATATTCCACAAAAAAGGACAACCTGACAAACAGCAGATAGTTTCGCATTTCCGCTTTACAAAAATTGAGCGTAAAATAAGCATAAAGGAAAATGTTTATTTGTGCTATCGAAAAATGAAATAAATTTGTGCTCCCTTTTCTGCCATCATCATTTCTCGATGCTTTCTTGTGCTTTCTTTCTCTTCTTGATTCTCATCCACAATGTGCTCTGTTCGCTTACAAATTAGATATCAAAATTTTGGTGATTTTCGATGATTTTCAGACTTCAGAAACGAAATTTTGGAACTGAAAGTCTTTCTTATTTTCAATTTTGCACCGTTGTGGCTGTGTCCGCTTACAAATTAGTTGAATCTTTGAAAGGAAAAAGGATAAACAAAAAGAAGAACTTTCATGAAATGTAAAACAACAAGGAGATAGCCGTAAAAAGAAATGCGACACAAAGGAAGCTTCAAAAAAGGAATTTTTTTTTCCTTTCTGGTCGTGAGCAAGTCGTGAGCATGAGAGAGGATTTTCCTCTCTGAGAGAATAAATTTCTCACGAGAATCAACAATTTCCTCAAAGTGCAATATTTTTCACGCGACTGTTTGTGTGTAAAAGTTCTTGTTGGTATATTCATTATGAAATTCTCTCATCGCTCGTGCGCCTGAATGGTGAGAAAAATGTTTATCCATCGTCGTATGTGAAAATGTTAAAATTATTGAATTTTTTTCTTCAACCTGCTTTTCATCGACCACCAATACACTCGCATAATTGTCATTCATGAAAAAAATAAGACGTCTCCTCGTGAGCGAGAGAGAGTCAAAGAGAACGGAAGGCAAGAATTGTTGAACGAGATTTCGATTCACTTATACTACTAATTTTGTGTATTATACAAGCAGAAAATTCTGTTCTGGTGAGCGAGCTTACGAACAATATAAAAAAAGTTTTTTTGAGTGAGAAAGGAAAACAGAGGAAAAGCTAGGAAAAATTTTCCCATAACGTTCAGTTAGAGAATTGTCGTCATACAATTTAGAACGAAATTTTAGTTAGAATCCTTGTGTGCTTTGGCTGTTAGTTCCTGTGTAATTTTTATTGTAATTTTAAAAATCATTAAAAAAAATATTTAAAAAAAAATATTATACACACAAAAAAATAATAAAAGAAAAGACACAACAATAAGCTTGTAGGCTTGCTAATCGTCTTTAAGTTTTTTGTAGAAGCTCCTCTTCCGTAGAGTTGTAGTTTGCTCGAAAGGAAAGACTTTTATGTTTTATCAAAACAAGCGAGAAGAAAAATTCAATTTTTTCCCATCTCCTACTCTTGCCTGACTTGAAAGGAAATAAAGTGAAGAAGAATTGAAAAAAAATTTCATCATTTCCGTTCATTCACTTTATTATAGATTGGGAAATTAGAGACTTCTTGTAGGTTTGGAATTTTGATTTGTTTGTAGGAACCTCTTTGACTTGTCTGGTCGCTCGAAAATTGAGAATTTTTGAACTTTTTTTTGACTAAGTTGTGAGTTTTGGGGATCATTAATAAAGTTTTTGGGGATATTTTTTGGTTTCGAAATTTTTGTGATTTTTAACTTTGAATTTGAATGATGATGAATAGAAACTTAATTTCAAAGACATTCTAATGTGACTTGGAGTGCTTTTATGTCAAAATAAGCTCTAAAAGCTCAATTTTTAAATTCTTTTAAGGCTTTCAAATTTTTTGAAATTTTTTAAAAGTTTTTAAAAAATTTTAAAATTCAAAATTCAATCAAAATTAAAATTTAAATCACTTCAAATTTTAAAAAGTCTTTAACATCAAGAAACATAAAGAATTTAATTCATACCAGCTGAACCTTAACCCCCAACCCATCCTAACCCAAAAAAAAGAAACCTCAGAAATCCCATAAAAATCAAAAAAAAAGTTCATAACTTCTCGCATATTTTTTTATCGAGCTCAAAAAAAAAGGGGGGAAAGAAGCAAAAAGTTTTGCCAATTAATACAAAGAACGCATTTTTCACATTTCCATTTCCACACACAGACAATTATTATTATTATTTATCATATTGAGTGAAAAAAAATAAAGAAGAGGAAAACTAGAAACTAAAAGAGGATATAACACAACCACACACACAAAAAATCAAATTCACAAAGTGAAAAAAAAAAATTATTAATTCCGTTGAAAAAAAAATATATAAAATTCATGCATGCACGTATACATTACATATATTATCTACTCATATACCTACATGACTAAGGATATCGAGCCAAGAGCTTTTGAAAAGTGTTGAATTATACTTGTGAAAATACATCGTACAATTACTATCATACAGAGTGTGTAGAAGAGCTATTTTAATTTCAAGTAGTGAAAAAAAAAATTCTCAATTTATTTTTGCAGTGAGCACAAAAAAAATATTTAAAAAACACTATAAAAATATTTTACAACGAGGAAGGCAGAAGAAGAAGAATTAAAAAAATTTTAACCAAAAAAAATTTGTATTTCAACTGGCTTTTTTGATGTGAACTTTTATTTGTGAGTTATATTGAGTAAATATACAAAAAAAAAATCAAGTTGCAAAGCAAGAAGCATTTTTAAGAAAAAAAATAACCAAAAAAATAAATAAATAAAAAAAGTTAATTTTGTAGTGTCATTTTTAAAAAGGAAGCAAAAAAAGTGATTATCTATACAACAAGAAATTTTTTTTGAGTTACCAAAAAAAGTAGTGCAGTAGTTCGTAGTTGACAAAAAAAGAGTAGAAAAAATATATTTTTTGAAAAAATAACAAAAAAAGAAAGGTTTTAAATCCATACTCATTCACACACATACAAAAAAGTCGAAAAGAAAGCAATTAAAATGTTAGCAATGTCAAGCTTAATGATGCCAGTTCCAATGCTTGGATCCAGCCAACTTGTCCATAAGCCACCAGAGGCAAAATTACTGGCAATTCATTCAGCTGTTCATAATCAGCCTCAGCAAACGCCACAACATCATTTGCAACAACCCAATCATATGCAGCAACAGCCCCAACAGCAACAATCGAAGCCAGGTAGATAAGTCGTGACTACATATTTTTTTTTCCTTCTTTTGCTCGTTCCTTTCTGTTGTGAAATATTATTACACCTTAGCATTTATCAAAATGTTACAAAAAAGAATGAAAGGAAGTAAAAAAAAAGAAAATAAATGGAATGAGGAAAAAGAAGAAGAAGTGCGATTTTTGGGGAAAGGGAGAGAAAAGAAGAATTTTTATTCGTTCCGTTACACTCAAAAGAAAAGTCTTGTGAATGAAAGAAAAAGGAATGAATAATGGTTGCGCATTTATTTTTAGAAGACCGTAGAGTCTGGCATTTTATGGTATCATGCTTTAATTCTCACCCTCAACTTCTACTTCCATGTTATCGAATGTACAAAAACTTTTGCGAAACATTAAAGCTCAATTTTTGATTGAAAATGTGACTTTAAAGGGACAGTCATTATATTGAGCTGCAGAAGGATATAGACATTTCTAAAATAAGCAGGGCGATAGCTTCACAACATTTTAAAGTTAATGGCAACCCTTAACATAACAGCATGCTTCAAATGAGTACAATAAGACCTTAAGAGGCTCAATAAGCAAGTGCTGGAATGATAGGGCATATTTAAGGATCAAAATTCATTCATGACTTCTTTGAAAATTATCCTAGACATACCTAGACTCTTAAAATATCTCCTCATAAAGAGCAATCAACGGTTAAATAATAGAAAAATTAAAGAATAAAGTGTAGCTAAATCTGAGGCTAGTAATTCCTTGCATGAGCTTAACTGATCTGTGGTGGAGCTATTAACATTTGTGTCACTTGAGAATAAAGTCTGACCGACTCTGAACTAACCAATACACAAGAAATGAGCAAATATTCCTAGAAAAAAGGCAGCAACTGAGAGCAAATTTACGTCATCTCCCACCTTTTACCCCAAAAAAAAAAATATTGTTCATAAAATTGTTTACTTTTACGCGTGAATATTCCCTTCCAAGAATATTCGGTTAGATCAGTGTGAAGATTTCCAGCTGCATTTGTATAACTTAATTCCGCTCTCTTTATTTTTCCTGTTTGTGGTATTTTTAAGAGCTTTTCCTCGCATTTCTGTAAACAATCGAATTGGATGTGAATTTTTTTTTTTTTTGATGGAACTTCAGTTAATGTTTTCTTATTTTTTTGATGCTTCTCTCGATGCCAAGAAGATGGATGGAGACGCAATTATAATTTTCTAGCTATTTAGATAAATATCAAAGCGAGGACATATTTTATATTTATGCATGCGTTTTGCTTATTCTGAGAAAATGTAATTACGAAAGCCTTTGAGGAAATTATTCATAGCTTGAAAATATAATGACTATCAAATATTAAGCTCCTCCAATTAACCTCCAAATATATGAAATATCATCAATCCTTGAAGGCATGAAAAATTCATCAAAAGTTTTGACTTTGTTTGTTTTATAAAATTTTAAACAAGTAAAGTCAGCAACCTCCCCATCCATTCAGTCAGTCAGTCAAGTAATAATCCCTTTTCTGTCAAATAAAAGGGATCCCCTTCATCAAACTTTCATATCGATACTGTCAATAATGTTTAAAAACTTTTCTTTTTTATGGAATAATTTATCGCGTTACAGAACAATTTTTTTGGGTTAACGACGAAAATACTTTTTGTTGTTGCTGGGCTTTGAATAATTTAAGGAACATGAAAAGTTATTAGTTTTCAAAATTTTCACAGCTACTCTGACACTTATTAGGAGCAATTTGAAAATAAGTTGAGAGTTTAATTTAATTTGTGGTTACAAACTATGAGTCATGACAGCTCTGAGAAAATTGTGGCTTTTCAATTTTTTTTTTATATTAATGGCAACATGTGAGGAAGAAATGATGAAATTGAAGGAACACATCACGTCCACTATGGGATTTTATTGTCAACAAAACGTGGTGAATTTTTAAGCCATATTTGCTGACCATTATCTCAACTAATGTAGGTAAACCTGTTACGGTTGACATCTTCAGTTCTGCTAGAATTTGCTGCTATTTTAGGAATGAATCGTATTCTAGCTTTTTGTTTAGTTTATTTGGAATTTTCAACATTTAAAGATGCAGACTGTTTTTAATTTTAAAGATGCCGTTCATTTCACTAAGATTGATCCCTGATTAAATAGGCGGATATTAGCGTGAACTTAATTTTTCAGAAATCTATGCCAACTCGTCATAAACTGAATCATTAAAACACTATAATAGTTCCTGGGTAGCATCACATTTATATAAATGACAATTTCTCAAAATCTCTCATAAAAGTTTACGTTAAATGCAATAAATACTGTACCCTGCTGCTGTATATTCAATGTTTAATGGTCTCTTCCAGGAAATAAAATTACGCTTCCATTGATATAGTCCACAATGCCGATATTTCTCGGTATGACATCAATACTCAACTTTAATGCCATTCAGAGTCGATAAATTTTTTTTAAATCCACTGACAAGCTTTAACCCCCAAATCTCATTCGCCTGAATACACCCCATAGTTCTGTCATATCCATTCAAATTGTCTGCTCGCGAATTCACTAATTTTAGACATCATAGTTCGAGTTCAATAGAGCAATAACAGATTTTTAATCGAGAGAATTCATGCATCTGTATTTTCGCTCCATAAAATCCTGTTTGAAAAAAAAAATGCCACCGGATGTGAAATTGATCGCAATATTCGAAATAATGTTCATCATTTCACCTCGTTTGAAAGGTATAAGAGGTCCTCAAATGCTGAATGAAATCGATGAAAATCGTTAAAAAGCAGACAGTCCATTATTTTGATGATTATTGTATTACAATTCCTTGAATTATGAGACTCGTAGGAGCTATTTTATACATATTATAGCCACAAGGTTATTAATGAATTTAATGGCTCAATAAATAAATTGGTATATGACAATTTTCGGTGATCCCAAAAAAAGGTTGAATCCTACGTGGAACTAGAAACTCAAAAGTGAGAATTTCTGCAGCCTTAATTTAAAATTTTTCCACTGAGTGTACCGAAAAAAATTGTTATGAGAAATAAAAAATTTAAGCAATTTTTTCGGTAGTCACTGTTGATGGTAAAATGCGGAAGCGGAAAGCTCAACAAAAATGTAAATTTCCTTCATTCCTTCAGTCCTCTTCCTTTTCCTCTCCCCCCTCAAAATCCACAAAATAATGCAGAAGAAAAAAAAAGTGAGAAAGAATAAAAAAGTGATAAGAAGCACAAAAAAATTGTGTGAAGACTGTCTGGAAAATTTATATTTAAATAACTTTTAAGTGCATTATTGCACAATGAATTTTGCTGATGCGATCATTTATGCTATTTGAACAGCTGACTGAATATTTATTATTTTTTAGGATATATGGATTTTTTTTTTGTGCTGTGTGGATTATTTATTTAAAAAAAAGGAATGAAAATTTGTTTGAAATTTCAAGCATGAATTCACAAATAATTCTGAATTTTCACAGATGAAGGCTGCTTTGGAGCTGTACCGAGCTGATTTTAGAAAGAGCTCGTGTCCTTTATAATGACACACTGTTATGAAGTATGTAATTTTGGTTGGATGATTAAGATATTGCTCCAGTTACTCTCCTACTAAGCATTGAACCCTAAAGAACCCTTAACCATAGCGATCTTAAGCTACTAATTCAAAAAACCAAGTAAAAAATCTCAAGATGCACGTAGAAAAATGCGCTCTATCAAAACTGCCAACTCAAGCATCCTCAAAAACATTTTTCGACTTTTTATTCAGAACGTCGAATGAAGAAATAACAAAAATACATAAAATAATAAAAACACATAAAAAAAGCAAGAAAACTTTAATTTTAATTATAGTAGAAAGCTCGAAAGGAATAAAATAACAATAAGCAGGAGCACAACGGAATAAAACACAGAAAAAGGAGCAAACGAAAAAAAAAATCAATTTAAAAAGCTCTCTTTTAATGCTGTGCATTCATTTTAATGAATGCGAGATGCTAAAAAAAAATTTTTGTGTATGCTCACCCGCCACCCAATCTTGTGTATACTTTTCACCACCCATTCATTCTCTCCCTCTGGGTTACCGCTTCACTTCTCATTTTTTTTCCTCTGTTCTGTGTGTGTTATGTACATGAAAATGCATTAAATTTTCGTCTGTTTTTTTTTTTCGGTAGTAGCTGCTGCTCTACTACTCTACTGTGGTGTGTACATCGGGGGTGGGAAAAAAATATATGTACGTATATATTGTGAGAATGGCGAAATGTGTGTGATGAGGTGTGCGAGTATATACACAACCGAATAAAGTTTTATAGGGGATGAGTGAGTGAGAACGAGAAATGATAATGGCATAAAGCAGCAGCAACAACAACAACATCAATAATAATAAAAGCAGTAGCAACAAAGCTACTGGTGAACATACAATAGGAATGGGAATATAAAGCGCAAAGAAACATTTGCTTTTGCCTATACAAAAAAAGCGAAAAAAATAGGCAGGCTGGGTCATAAAGTTTTGGGTTTAGAAATTTTTTGTGGAGAGATTCGCGACATTAAAAAAAACTTTTAATATTCGAGTGTGAAATTTGGTGACACTATGCGACTTTTACGGATGGGAGTAACTGGAATTGCATGACTTGATTTACTGTCGAGTCATTTATGAGGAATGTCACATATAAAAAATTCATTTGCACCACCTTACTCTTTCCTTAGATGAATGACGTCATTTATGAATGACTCTTTAACCTTACAATCCCTTTTAAAATTGAAAAAGCTCCTTTTCATCCACTGCTTTAGAATGAAAATCTCGTAAATACTATTAAAATTTTTATTGACAATTGGAATTGCATTGGTTTAATGGTTTTCGAATAAAACTATAAAAAAATTTCACAGTTAACAAAAAAATTTGATTCTTTTCCAAAAAAAAAAAACGATATTCAGTGCTAAAAGGAATATTGGGCATAAAGCCCATTTTCATTCAAATTTAGTATTTTTTTACAAAAAAAAAAAATCGCTCAGAAATTAACAAGGTTTGAAACAAGAAAA